GATCTAGTGCCATTGGTATTGCAAAAAAATTTGGATGATTTTGGTATTTTCTCTTGTACTTTCTTTAACATCCGAGATTTTTCTATTTGATACTGTGAGCTGAAAATATTTTGCAGAAAAAGCCTCGTTGGAAACAAAATTTTGTCTTGGAGTTGTATAACGGATTTCGGTATGCCCGTTAAATTTTCATTAGATATCTGATGTACCCATTTTGGTGATTGAATATTAATTTTCCAAGTCAATGTAACGGTACAACACCACAAAAAGCACAGGCTAATTGCTATTAAATCTTTTTTAAAAAATCGTCTCATCGCGTACATTTCGTTCGGACCCACTTGTGATTATCGTATTCTCGGACTACAGTATCAGCTTCGACATCGACGTGCTACACAGCTACTGTCTAAATGGTAATATAGGTGTTATATACGTTATTAATATATAGATATAGGAATACTATGCGAATACGATACGGTATGATAATATAACATGACGTTATAATTTATCGTTCGTGTGTGTTTCGTTTAGCGCCGACCACATTTCCTCCAATAGTAACAAAACTATACGCACACCTAATGGTATAGTTATAGTATAATATATTACTATAATTTTATTGTTTTCGTCGCCGCCTTTTTAGTTGTTGTACTCGTCGTATTTATATACTCGCGGACACGACGGCGGTAGCGTTCATGTCTGACCTCAGTGACGGCGACAAGTATTTATCTTTATTTCCGATGGCCATAACGTCATGTGTGCGCATCCTTTGCGAACTGGCGGGTGGGCAGACAGCGGCATACACCGACGCATAAACATCGTGTTACGTTATTATTATATAAATGCATAATATTATGTTTTTCCGATTAAACACGTGTACACACAGGGCTAGGTAAACGCGACTGATTACGGTCGGTGGGAGACGCGTCGAGTAAATGAAAACAAGTTTAAAAGTCCATAAATATATATATATATTGTATATAGAAATTAACATTGGAGTGACGTTCCACTGTATTATAATCGTTAAAATGATGAATACGACTGGCTCATTATACGATTATTACGACGTTTCAAAGATAAATTCATCCATACTAACGGCTTCCGTCAGCTACAGTCAGACGCCACCTCCGAACTGCGATCGCCAGCAAACGTTGAAATCTGAACTTCGTTGCGACTACAGTCGTAGGTACAATTAATACCGAATTAAAATTTACACTACAATATAAATTACAATGTAACTCTAGAGTAAAAAAAAAAAAAAACAACAGAGCAACTTGTAAATTACCTAGCATATATTATTTAAAATTTCTTAAATATTGTATTAAATTTTTATTTTAAATAAAGTATTATAGATAAATATATTACACTCGTACATATTATTACGGTCAAAGTAAATAATTCAGATAACCCACAATGTAATTAAATAGCTGGGTATCGTGTACAGTGTTCAATTTTTTGTGAGCAATATACATTTTTAGTATTTCTTACAGAAAAATATTAAGTGTTCCAACGTCCATGTCTAGATAAGTACCTAAGTTTTTTTTTAAGACATGCCTGGATGTATAATAATAACGATTATTGATTAAAGTCACTCATGCAGATATTCAAGTAATGACTGTATTGCAATATCTATACAGTGTTTAATTAAGTCTTTTACTTAGGCCGTTGATAATCCAATAAATAATTTCAGGTTAGTTAATATTATACAGAATTCATCGGATTGATTGTAATTTTATAGCTACGTTTTGTTATTTTGAATTTCGTAACAAACATTTATTTTGCTTAATATTTAAAATTATATAAAATTTTTTTAATCTTCTAAGTGAATAAATTAAAATCTAGTAAGTATTTTTAAGTATAACAAAATATAGCAAGATTTTAAAAAGTGAAAAATTGGAGTGGAGTTAAAACTAAATTACTAGGTACAAATAATTGAAGGCATTGAAGCGTTACCCATGGTGTAATAATGATTGTAAATAATTTTGTTATTTGTAGTGGTAACTGAACTAAATATTTTTAAAGATTATTTTTATAATAAAGAATTATAACTTACATACAATAATAAATTTATAACGCGATTTCGTATTTAATCACGAAGGTAAAAACCAAATATAACATGAACTGAACGCGACATATAAAATTATCATTAGGAAATTTTAAATAGGTAATATAATTCAATTTATGTAAATTATTTCAGAAAAAATGTAAGATTATAAAAATGATAATCAATTTACAATAAATTTTTCAGAAATGAAGTTGTCAGGAGTAATCTTTGGTTTATTTTAAAAGTCGATATGTCTGATAACTATAATAATAAGTTTTATTAATTGCTAATTTTAATTCTTATCAAACAAAATTAAATTCGACATAGATATAATCTTAGAATGGTACTTTTATAATGCATTAATCAATGATATAATTCTATTGAAAGTGTAAAATTAAGAAAACAATGTCAAACTACTATTTATATTAGTCATTCCGATAAAACATCATTACCTTGTTTTGTGAACTAATGATGTATTCAATTTTGCTAAACATGAAATGATTTGAAATATAATATATTATATAACGTATAATAACCTCATGAGTTGGTATGAAGGTTAATATCACATTCTTTATCAACTAAAATGATACATTGTAATAATACATAAAAAAACTAGTAATTGATAAAAGTATATAGCAGCTGTAATTCAGTGAATATTTATATCAATTATTAGCCGGTAAACATTGAGTTATTTTAAAATCACCATGGACTTCTCTAGAATGGGTTTTTTAAAACTAAATAAGACGTAGTGATGGCCTAAAACACAATATTGCTGCTTTCTGAATTAGATGTTGAAATCCATATTGTGAAGTACTGTATTTTACTGAAATTTGTTTTAGATACAAGATTATTTGTTGTATTTTAAAATCTAAAACATTATAAAGGTAATACGTACAACACAAATTACGCATATATAGTATAAAAATGTATTAAAATCTTAGTCTAATTTAGTAGCAATGACTAAATTTTTTTTATGTATTATTACTCCAATAACCAATAATTTGTAATTAGTGATTTATATGAAAAAAAAAAAAAAAAATAAATATCGAGATCTAAAAATATAATTTTATCAAATAAGAAACCGTATAAAAAAATTGTTTTTTTTTTTTTAATTATCAAAAATATAAAATATATACCTATATTTATTTAAATATATCAATAACAACAAACTAACTCTAAATTCATCATTGTTTTGGTTTATACATAAATATAAGTAATATGTGCCCATTATCATTAGTACAAAATATTTATAAATAAAATATGCTCACTAGTGGTTACTTTAAATTTTTGTGCTGTATAAATAATTAAAAAGATTGAGAGTCGACGAAAACTAATCTATATGGTCGATAAATTATATCATTATTTTATTCTACATAATTTGTAAAGTCTTATGAAATTGTTATGCACAATATAGATTAAACTTTGTTTATTATTATCGATTTATATACATACTAAATAAGAGGATTTAAACGATAAAAAAATGCATGGATCTTCATAAAATTGGTCAAATATTTTATGATTGTATAATATTACTTAGTCTTTGAAAATAAAATAATTTAATTATTATGCTTATAGTTTAAAATATAATATAATTATATACGAATATTGATAAGTAGTTTATGTATAAAAATTAAATATATACAAGAAACATATCAATTTAACTATGAGATGAAATTTCTTTATTAATGAAAACGAATACAAATAATAGATAACAAAATGTGAAAATACAGACAAATATTAAAACGTATAAGCACTGTTTTATACATGTATGTACATAATAACTAATAAGTACATAGGTGAGAATATACAAAATTGTTGTGAGACATATCAATGTTATTTAAGTATCATCAAGTAATAACGTACTTGGAAGTTTGAACCAATCATGATACGCTATTTTTCCACGTTCTAATATATGGAGACTCATTTGACGGACAAACAAATCGATTAAATTCTTTAGACCAGTCTTTCGATTTAAGGCCAACTGGTTCCATCATATTGTTCCATAATGCATTTGCAGCTGAAATATAACGTTTTAAAAATACATAAGTTAAAATATAATGCATCAGTGTTTATTCTTGGTCTTTTCACGATTTAATGAAAATTTATTTGATAGCAAAACTGCAAATATATATTTTTCTATTTATGAAATTATGGTCGTAAGTTATGACTGAAAAATCTTCATTGTTGAATTGTTATATAGTGATTAAATGGGAGTTTAGATATTGTAAATCTATATAATTTATTTTATAACAAAGAAATCTTAAATTTTATATGGTGACGTATTACGTAAAGGAAAGGTTCTAGTGCTTTCTTCTATTTTTTTTTTGTTATAAAGCAATAATCTTTTCAAAATAGTTATAGAACAAATTACTTTAAAAATATTATTAAAATGATAACCGTAAAATGATATGAATTATTAATTATGTAGTATATATATTTTCAAAATTTTACTGTAGGAAATAATATTTTGAGTAACACATTTTTTTTTTCATTTAAAAATCAAATTTTGTTAAGTTTTTAACCACAAACTTATGGAATTATAATTATGTTTTTGTTTTCATGATGTTTTTTAATTGCAATGAAAAACAACGTATATGGTATCGTTACTACATTTTGAATGTTAACATAATATTTAAATTAAAATAATACGAGTTTTTTTATAATTGTATATTATACGACAATTTTGGGAAAAAAGATCAGAAAAAAAAAATCATTTAATGTCTTATAGAAAGGAAAGGTTATTTAAAATATTCAAACTCTTCAACAATTATCAAAATACAGACAATTGGTACATGCTTGACAAAAAGTATTTGTGACTATTTTTGAATTTTTAATTAAATTGCCAATTTTTATGTAAAAACTATTTTTTATCATGATTTATAAGGAAAAAATTCAAAAGACAAATATTTAAAATATCCATTAAAATGAATTGAATATATATATATATATATATATATATATATATATATAACAGTTATGTCGAAAACTGGTGTAGCGTATATATTCCGTTCCTTTATTATAGTTCGTTTTTATCGATTATTTCAAAAACTACTAGAAATCGTTTTGATTACCAATATTGCAAACTAGATACAGTTTTATTCGCTCAATACAAATTATGGATTTTTATTTATTAATCAGCAGATATCTATAGTTTTATTTTAATAATTTATTATAAATCAAACCGTTAAAAATATTTTTTGAATAATTTATAAGTATTAAATTAAAACGTTGAATTTTTCTTACCTCTAGCATAACCTTTCTGACTTAAATGAAAACAATCGATCGCCAGATACGTTTTATCTGTAGTATTAAATCGATTTAATGGGAAAATTAATTCTTCTGTAAATGTTTGGAGAACAACCGTAAAATCATCTTTATTCTTAATTTCTTCACTTTCCACCTAAAAATAATTATTTCTATGTAATTAATTTATTTATGTATATAACAGAAAAATAAGATAATTAGGAGAAACCGAAATTGTCAAATGAATTTCCCCAAATTATACAGGTAAATTCTGCTAATAAATGCATTTTTACTAGAATTTTCATTAACAACGTTTAAAATAAGATAAAAAAAATTCATTGATATTTTATATAAAAATATCATTGTTTTAAAATCATAATTTTACTATGTATGATCTTTAAAAACCTAATTACTATGAGTACCTAAACATTGTCTTTCGTTACTAGATATGATATCCTAGACTCTAGACGTAAGATTATCGAATTCAAGAAATGGAAAATTTTTTGATAATTGTCACAATCTTCGTGATTACCAGAATTATACTAAATGATTAATTTTAATATTAATCATTAAATTAATAAAACGTAACATATAGATATATATTATATAGTAATTATTTATAAATGTATAAAATGAAATAAATGATTTCATAATATAAAATAATATTTAAAAATAATATAAAAATGTTTGTAACTTTAATAATTATATAATAAATAATAATATAATGATATTTAATTTTAAAGCAACAAGTATTATTACGAATTCACTGCTAACTGCTTTTGTTGACGATTGAAATAACCTTAAAAACGTAATCCATGAGTTAGATTAAGTCGATATCTTTAAGAAATAACGACTCCAAAAACCAGTTTAACCAAAAATTTGAAGATTTACGAATAGTTTTAATTTCGATTTTGTATTACTATATATTTTTAAATAAATAACAAAAATAAAATAAATAGAAGGAAATATTTATATTTTTTAACTATTTAATATACACATTCAGAATATGGAATGCATAAGCTGACGTTTAAGTTTTAAAATATTCGATCTATTAATTACATGATGCAGTTATGTTGTCGTTGGCTGACATCAAATGAAAAAACACATCTAAGATTCATGCATGTTACTATATTAAAATATTCTTACTATTTCTTTCTCGACTTCTTGAAACTGTTTCATTACTTTAACATAATCTGACAATTTATGTCTGTACTGTGTGGCATGCAAACATGGACACTCTACAATATGAGCTAAGATACAAATGATTGGCAAATTTGTGAATTTCGTTAAAAATTCTAAATCTATAAAATATATAAACAATATTTAGATAATTATTATTCTCATATTATATTGTTAATTTTTTATTTATTTAGAACATAGTATACTAAAGTTACGAACATAGTCAACATATTACCTAATATTTAATTTAGAGTTATAACAAAATAAAGAAATCAGTTTTATTAAAAATCGGTTTACCGTAAACATTTTTTTTTTAATTATTTTACTTTTCTCAATTATTAAAAAGAGTACTGAAAATTTTTATTTTTAACTCTTTAAAAGTCTAAAGTAACAAATAAATCCAAATTTCTACTAAAAACCACCCTCAAAGGCCAAACTGAAAATCGAAGCATATTTATTGTTTTTAAAGTAATTACGGACATAAATAAAAATCACACATGATTGTAAAATCATTACATAATCCATAACTAAGCTTAGAGTTTAAAATATTTAAATTCTGTACAGAATTTTTGGTTACGTAGATATGTACCCTCAACAAATTTATAGAATTACAATGCTGACTTATTTCTATAAAAAAAATATTATTAGTATATTTAATATTTTTTTAGCTTTTTATAAAATAAAATTTCGAAGAAGACCTATAAACTTTGGTGACTAAATGATAAATTATTGAAATTTTAAATTCTTCATTTTTACTATGATATACATTCTAGTGATTACCATATAATGATTACTATTAAATCAATATATCTACTACACGTAGAAAATTCCAAACAAATAAAAACATTTAAAAAATATTTGCATTTAATATTATATTATTAAGCTATGACAGATCAATTAAAATATTTTGTTTAAATCAAAAATCCATTATTCATCAGACATTAATAAATTATTTTCATATTATAATCACATTAACGATTAGTATATTAATTGACGTTTGAAATTCGTTATAAAATTATTTTGACGAAAAATCCTTGGAAATAATATTGATCAATTTAAAACATGCAAATATCAAATTTAATCAATATCTATCCATCATTGATAATATGATACTATTAATATCTATAGATTTTCATAAAATTAAATATAATTTATAGTCTTGAAATAAATATTGTTTTGAATGTATATTTTAGCACACATATTAATGAATTTTATTCTTATTAGTAAAATTTTAAGTATGTACATTAATATTTAAAGATAATTAGTTATTATTTATAATTATATTTTTTCCAAATCGATACTTACCTATCAATATTCAATTGCTATTAGTACATTTATTATCAAAACCAAACTATATCAAATTAGGTACCAATAATAAAAAAATATTCTAAATGAGCAATAAGAAATTATCTTATAAAAAATTGTAGAAATTTGAATTTTACATCAAATGTTTATGTTAGAATTTTCTATTTATAATATAATTTTTCAAATATTTTAACTCTTTTTAAGCTCTTTATAGAATTTTAATACAATTTAATACAGAGTTACTTTTTAGTTATTCATATTGAAACCAAAAAATATAAGCACAATTATTTTTTAAACACTTGTAGTTCAAATTTGATTGAAATTATATTATGTTTTGAAGATAATGATTTTTTTTTTTTATAATAGTTCAAAAATATAATTTACAGTAAAATAAAATTCTTACGTACATTATGTATTTTACAATTAGTAATGAAATTTTTAAAATATGTAGATTAATTTTATGCCATTACCTATTTATATCATGAACTTATTCAGACTGTTTCACAGTAAGGTATTAATGACTCAAGTCATTAAAAATAATTTGATATAGTATAGATATATATTATTATAGAAATTTAATTTAATTAGTATTAATATTAATATGATAAATGCAATGTTTTCAAAAAAATTAAATCAATCTACCGTTTTCCTAATAGTAAAAAAAAAAAAATTACTTCAATAATAACATAAATAAATATGAAATATACTTAGTGACATAGGCTAATAGACCGTCTCCACTCAGAATTGTTATTCGTATTCAATAATATATCATTGAATTCAAATTTAACAAATGCATTATAGCGACCCCCGCTTGATACAGCAGATCAGTACCCTTTGTTTGTCCAACTTTTTTATATTTTTTGTATGCCTATATTATAAAATATATTTATTGTTTTGATCACCCAATATACATAAAATATTAATCTAATATGAATTTAATAGAACCCCCATGCATTTTAATATTTTTTGATATTTTTAAATTTCTTAAATGGTACTAAATTTAATGTATTTTGGATAAAATAAATGTACAATATGTCAATACATTATTTTGTTTATATTATGTACTTAAATTTTTCATTATTCTAGGGTGATGGTTTTTTTTTTTTTTTTTTGGGGGGGGGGGGTATGGATGATTCCGTATTTTTTCCATGTGTTTAGTTTTAATAAAATCATGTTTTGTTTAAATAGTTAATTTCATTTACTTGGACTTAAAACTAAGTTGACTATAGTCCGTGGCAAATTTTCTTTTATGTATAGTAATGACTTTAGAACTGATGTACTTCGTTCAGTTACGTATTGCTCA